TTTTTAAATACAATTTTGTTTGGAGAGACTTTATAATTAGTTTTTTTTGTGTTTTTTTTTTTTTTTTTTTTGTTAATCTATTTTGGATATTTAAAATATCTTCCAGTGTTAAATGTTCATGGTCTTTGAGAGTGTGTTTTTGCATCTTTACGCCATTACCATTACATCATCTGAAAATGAACTCAAAACGACAATATTATCGTCTATCACGATAACTTGTGGAACAATTTATTGTCCAGTAAAATTTGTAATTGTGGCAAGCGTATTTACAGGTACTCTTCATCCAGTCTAATGGAGATTGTACAATTGTTCAAAAATGTCAACCTCCAGATCAGGGGTGCCCAAGTCCAGTCCTCATGCTTCAACTTTTAGATGTAAAATTTCTCTGAATCAAATCCCTGAAGCCCATCATCAGCAATATTGCTCAGCTCTGCAGAGACCTGGTAATGAGCCATTCATGGGATATAGGCGTGTTAAAGAAGAAAAGTATCTAAAAATTGCAGGATGGTAGAACTGCACCTCTGCTCCACATACTCAAAGCTGATACAGAAATGCCTCAAAAGACTTTCAGCTGTGAAGTATTCCTGCAAAGTATTAACCGAGCTGACTACATGGGCACACCACTCTTTACAGATTTTTATTTGTAGAAAAAATTTAAAAGTATCACCTTTTTTTCCCACTTCACTTTATGCTTTATTTTGTGTTGATTATATAAGAGCCTAATAAAAGGCATTAAAGTAGCAAAATATTGAAGAGGTATGAATACTTTTGGGAGGTTTGTGCTCATCCAGAGCTGCTGTGGCAGCGGACAGGCCTTATTGATCTGCCTCCCCCACATCAGCCTCTAGACATCACTGCAGCTGGAGAAGAGTCTGGTCCGAACGTTACTGCAGTGAGACAGAAATAACCAGAGCTGCCTCTAATAGCGCACATGCAGAGCCCATTATGTGGTATTTGTCCACTTTGCAATTTATATTGTTTTGTAAATTGACACTGCAGTTGAGCAGTTTTTTTTTTTTTTTTTTTTTTTTTTCTTGGCAAAAAGGAAACGACTAACCATCCATCATTACAGCTGTAGTCGTGCCGTATTGATGGGCATGTTTGGATTCAGGAATGCAATCAGTGCTGCAGTGGGCATCTCGAGCCGTACTTCTTCCAGCTGATAAAACTATACCAGCCAGGTCAGCACAGCGCAGCTCTCCCTCCCTCCTGCCCTCCCTTGGGTTTACGAGGCAGGCTCCCAGCCTGCGAGGGTTCTCCAGAAAATGCCAGGGTAGCAGGATTGGAGGATGTGCTGACTCTGGCCGGCCGCTGCTGGCCACGTGTGAGCTACAGCTGCTGGGTGACTTTAACAGGAAGAGAGAGAGGGGGGCGTTAAACCTCGAGTCATGACACCAAATAATCAACTTCCTTACAAGTTGTAGCTCTGATTACCTTCACATGTTGTCATAGAGTAAAGTTCTGTGCTAACGTATTTGTGTTTTGTTGCAGTGCAGCTGTAAACTTTTTTTTATTGGGATGGTTTTGTGATGGAGACACACAAAGTAATTTGAAGTTGTGAAGTTAATGTAAAATGATGTACAAGTTTTCAAATATATATATTTTAGTACTTTGTTTTAACATCCAGTGATTTACATCTTCTCAATTATATTATTCAAATATAAAAAATATATATATATATATAGCCCATTTTCTCTTTCCCCCGAATGAAATCCATCGCAACCACTTGCTTTGAAAAGTCCCTTATCTAGTTGAAGTCCAATAAAATGTTAAAGCAGGGATTCTATAAAGCTTTTTTTTTTTTTTGCAAGAAAAATGGAAAAAGGAGGTGGAGGAAACATCATAGAACATTGTGGTGGCAGCATCATGCTGCTGTTATCAGCTTGGAGAGAGAAACTCGGAGAGTCAGAACTTCAGAGGAGTGGTTTAGACAAAAACATGCTAATGTTTCAGAAATGCATCGAATACTTTTGCATGATACAACACTGGTTGAGCAGCAGGAGTGTTTTTCTATAGACGTTATTTGATCCAAAACTTCCCCTCACTCACAAACTGAGGAAATTAAAATAACATCCTCTTTTTTTTCTTTTTTTTTTGTCAAAAAGGGAAGAAAGATGCTGGTGACTGGCTAATTTTCTTTCACCCAAATATTCATATGATTAATTATACCTGGTTTTATTAAACATCCATTCAGTCAAATAGTACACTAAATGCCGAAGTGAAATAAGAAAATTTGTTGACCGTTATCTGTGGGGAAATATGAAGAGCAATTCCTCTTTGCAGACATTGCAAGCCTTTGAGTTGAATTCATTCATTCATTATCAACAACTGGGAAAACTGAAATAAAAAGTATATAATTTGCTTGATATGCTAATAGGATTGAAGTGTCAAACGTCTCAGAATTCAGTGAAAACACATTCTAAGTTTAAAAAACATGAAAATTAGTACAATAATCAAATGCATTTATTTAAATGTACCAATAAGTTTTTTTTACACAGTACATTTTTAAATTATTATACTGTGACATATTTTAGCAGGTTTTTTATTCTTACTCTGGAATGTTTTGTAATGTATTTTGTTTGATGGGGACATGGCTAGATGACTATGGTTCAAGTTAACCAGCAGTGGCACAGGAAACATATTTAAAAAAACAGAAGCTATTTTTTATTTTTTTTATTTTTTTTAACACACATTTGTGTTTTGAGTTTAACTTTTAAATGTGTATTAAAGTGTTTGCAAATTTAATCATCAATTTATATTTCTTTATGCAATGCACTTATTACAGTGCAATTTCCATTTACATTTATAAGTGGTTACTTGGCAAATTAGTTAATTTGTTGCACTTCTGGCCCTCAATAAATTAGTTTTTCCAAATCACTTAAACCCTTTTTTCCCCTTAATTTTTATTCCTAATCCAACATGTCCTCCATTTCAATAAAAAAAGAAGTGACTTTTATATGTGCTTATGTGTTTTTTGTTTCTACAGCTGGAAAACCTCATGCTGGATAAAGACGGACACATAAAGATCACAGATTTTGGTCTCTGTAAGGAGGGGATTAAAGACGGAGCCACTATGAAAACTTTCTGCGGGACGCCAGAGTACCTCGCACCTGAGGTAAACATGACAGTGCAACACTTTGCCTGGAATCACAATTTGAAGTCTCTTAATATCTTTCTGAAGCCACTTGCAGATCAGTCAGAAAAAATTGTATACACTTCATTTTCACCATCAGGTTTCTCCCTACCTGATTCCATCTTTCCATCTGGCTAAATTTTGTTGAAACACAACATTCCTTTTTACCTGGCCGTCGAATATATTGCCCATTAAAGTGCATGGGCACATGCTCCGTCCAGCCTCTCGTTGGATGACACCAATTTTCTTTGATTTTAATGAGACGTCAACCTTTTCTCTCGTTCACAGTGAAGAAAAATGGTTGATTACGAATTGAAGTATTAAAATACAGATCCTGATTTAAAAACTGGACAACCATGTTAACTCTAATCATGTCTTGATTTTTTTCAGCCATAAGGCAATTAGCAAAAATTAAGCCAACTTTTATCAAGAACAACCCTAGATACACAGATCCATGTTTTTATAACCTACTAGTTTGTGGTCAGTCAAATTTCTCTGCTGCTCACCAGATACAATTTTTAGCTTTTTTTTCCCCCTTTAGTATTTTATCTTGGTCAATATTGTTTTTTTTAAGTGCTTTATAATGTGTTACAGTGTGGATCCTAGTGATGAATGCTGCCTATAAACACAGGGGATTTGTAGAGCCCACCAGTCCGCTAACGAAAATACGCCATTTATTTGTGGACCTTATTGTATGGAAGCATCTGAAGAAAAGAGCAGCTGCCCCAAAATGCCTCTCTAATCTCCAGCTGAAGTTGACTTAATGAGTGTGCAGTGTGCCCAGGGCATGACAGCCTGCTCTCATATTTGCCGTGTCTTGAGGCTGTTGTGTGCAGGTATGACAAGTGTTGGTGGTGTAACCCGATATGGTGTATTGTGCATGTGTTCGAAGTGCGTTTGTGGGTTCTCCCCGCCTGTTGTCATAAAAATGCTTTCCGGAAGAAGGGTGTCCATGTTGATGCAGTTGTTGTATTGTCGTTTTTAGTCCGAGTTTGGAATTTTGTGTTTGAAGGAGAAGGTGTTTGGCCGGCTGGATTTCAGGAAATGTGAACTTCCGTCTGGGAAATTGAGGAAAAGAGAGACCACATGGGTTCCAGCTGTTATGTGGCACCCGGAGAAGCACTGCTGCTTGGGATGCTTCACCTGCACTAAGCACACAATCCCACAAGGCTTCACTCCTCCTCAGGAACACATAAACGTCCTGCAAAAATACTAAAACTCCTTGAAGTTTCTCACATTTTGTCAAACTACTGTTATGTATTATACAGGGACCTTTCCCCTTGAAGCCAGTAAATAAAACCAATTTCCTTCAGAAGTCATCCAGTAAGTTCCTCTTATAAAATTTAATTTCAGTGTAAATACATCTGTTTTGTGAAGGCCTCAGTCACTCAGCAGATCTGCCCTGTGGAGTAGAGTGGCCAGAAGAAAATCCATTTTGACAGAAAGCTAAAACGAGTCCCGTTTGTAGTGTTTCATAAGGAATTTATCAAACACCTCAAACTTCTGGCAGATTCTTCAGTGGGCAGAACTTGTTTGTATATAATCGGAACAGTTTTAAAAGAATACTTTTTTTCCAACCTCGGTGATATGCTGCTGACAAAATGCATTGAAGTTTGTGAATGCACAATTACAATATATGCAGCGAGATTAGAGGTAGGAATACTTTTACAAGGCTCACTGCCTCATAAACCTTTTCAAAGAAAAAGACAGCAACTTTTTATCCATTGCAATTATTTCTGGTTTTCTATCCTCATCCGGAGCTTCTTCCCAGCCCACTCCAGTGACAGCTCCAAACTCACTAGTGGAGCGCTGGTAGACATCAGGGGGCATCGCCATGGTAACGGGGTCGCTGCTGAGCGTCTCAATGGAGTACGGGCCAGGCAGTGTTACAGGTTTTTCTGCAATAAACAATGACCTTGTTGTGTGTGCTGCACAGGAATGCTGTAATGTCTGGGAATATTCCACCCAGAGCTGCAGAGAAAGAGAGGGAGAGGTAGGGAGGATAGACTCGGCCTGCAACAGCCTGACCAGTTTGTCTCCGGAGTAAAGCGCCGGACAAATTCACTTAGTCACTTTTATTAAACACTTACAGAAAGAAAACTATTATTGGCTGAGGGAATTGGCTGTTAGGGACAGTCCACAAAGAAAAATGTGGACGTGTTTAATCTAGCCCCCAACACCAGTCTGTATTCGGCGTCTTGAAAGATTAATGGCTGTCAGTGTAGAACATTGTGAGCTGAAAAACAGCAGTAAGGAGACTGTAGCTCCCAACAATCAGCAGCAAGTGTGTTTTTTTTTCTCGTTTTTTTTTTTAATCCTCCTCCTCTTTCTCTCTTCCGCTGCCTCTGCTCCTTTGGGGCAGTGTAACAGTATTAGCTTAGGGCCGGGGCCCAAATAGGCAGGCAAGCAAGCAGGCAGTCCTGGTTACGTATATGAGGGATGAGCTTGGCTCCTGCTCTCCTGGCAGCTTCACAGCTGTGGCGCTCTTCTACATATATGGGGCAGCTGCGGGCCCAGCTGTCGCACGGTGTGAATCACACGACAGCAGTGCTGGAAATAGAGACGGCCCAGTAATCTTAGCCCTGCTCCGGCTTCACGTTACCCCCCCTCCGCTGCCCTCCCGGCCCTTCCCGTCGATCCTCTGCACTCACCGCAGGACCAGACCGAGGGCCCACACAAGACATGCAAGCTGCATGCGTGCTCACTCACCAGCAGTCTGGTTCCTTTTACGGACACTTCAGTCCATCTGTTTCTGCAGGACCACCCCTCTCTCTGGGCCGGTGCACTTTTTGTGTCCTTGTCTAATTCGTTTAATCCGCCCTTATCTTTTTACCAAAGTTTCTAATATTAGGTATGAAATTTGTAGCATCATGCTGCTGAGGGTGTGGGAGAACACTGTTCTCGTTGTCTTGATTTAACATTCAACATCCGCCTGGCGAGGTAGAATCCAGTACATGTCCCCAGACACCCTGGAACAACTCCACTCTGCAGAGCGTTAGTCATGCAACAGGTTACACTGTTCACCAAGCACAACACCAGAGGAGTTTCTAATTAGGAAATGTCACAAAAAGTCATCTTATGAAAAGAATATGATTAAATATTTCCCTCTCTGTGACTCCAGCTGTGTTTAATCGAACAGTTTGGTATCGTTTGTTCATGTGAAAGACTTAATTCCTCTGCTTGTTGATCTGTATGTGTTTGTGTATGTGTGGAAGGGGTAGAGGTGATTAAATATGCAAGGCTCCAGGGGAAACTCTATACTTGCTCCTAATGTGAGATGTGAGTCAGTGTTGGCTGGAGCAGCCTGAAAACTTCTGACCAGAGGGGGGAGAAGGTGATGTCGGTGGGGGTTGGTTGGGACGTCCAAACGCAGACGTCCAGAATCAGACACTGTCGTTGCAGAAGTGTTTCGTCTACTTTTGTGTGCATACATTTTCACCACTTTTCTTTTCCAGTTACGTTTAGGATTGCAGCTTGTGCTCTGCATATTCTCTTTTTTTTTTTTTTTAAATCAGTCTGATTAACATTATAGATCCAGATGTCGTCTTATCACCTATATATATGGTTCTCTTTTTCCTGTGTGTTCATCAGGAGTAGCTACAATGGCTTTTGCTGTCAAAAATTGCCTTTAAATGTTTTTATCTGCATTTAAAGCAATATAAGGGCGTATTATGCTTTAAGTTTTGCACTTTGAAATATATTTTAGGTCCATAATGTCTTTAGATGTCTAAAAATATGAAAAAATAAGAAGTACAACGCTTCTGATTTAGATCTGTTCTCAACAACTGTATTTTAAATCCTCCCCCTCTCCAAGGTCCTAGAAGACAATGACTACGGCCGCGCTGTGGACTGGTGGGGTCTGGGCGTGGTGATGTATGAGATGATGTGTGGCCGGCTGCCGTTTTACAACCAGGATCACGAGAGGCTGTTTGAGCTCATCCTCATGGAAGACATCCGTTTTCCTCGGACTCTCGGCCCTGAGGCGCGCTCGCTGCTCTCCGGTCTCCTTAAGAAGGACCCAATGCAAAGGTCAGTCTGTTCCCTCAGTCAGGTCTCATTTCTAGCTTTTATTTATCTTTACAGTCGCTTTCTTTTAAAGTGTGGCATTAAAGTCCTTGTTTTTGGGTTTCCAGGTTAGGCGGAGGGCCTGATGATGCCAAGGAAATCATGCAGCACAAATTCTTTGCTGGGATAAATTGGCAAGATGTCTATGAAAAGAAGGTGGGATTCTGAAATATTTATTTTGCCTGCGATTTATATAAAGCAGAATTGCAGACACTGTCGGAGTGACAACTGTTCTTACGGCGATAAATGGCTGTTGATGTAAGCATGTCTCCTCTCTAACAGCTTGTCCCGCCGTTTAAGCCCCAAGTTACCTCAGAGACGGACACAAGATATTTTGACGAAGAGTTCACAGGACAAACCATCACCATCACGCCACCCGGACAAGGTAGCATCACTTTCTCATGTGAATGACCGTGCTAACAACTTACAAACAGTTCCACTCAATATGTCCAATATGTCACAAAGCCTAGCCACAATTTTTTAATCTTTCCACATAATTATCTGCTGTATTTAAAGGGACTTGAGTTACCTTTTTCTAAATATGACTGAGAGCTTTACCCGGCTTCATTAGGTACAGTGTGCCCTCTTCAGGACATGCAACACTATTAAAATAGACGTCCGAAAAACATTAAAGTCAGCAGGGAGCTGAGCACTTTGAATGACGATGGTCATTTGGCGCAAATTTTGCAAAATTAAAGAAAAAAAAAATCAAAATATTAATAAAAAGATAAGTGGATGGATGGATGGATAAGGTTAAGTGTTGTCTACCAATTTTCAATGCAGATTTGAGTTTCTGTTAAAAGGCACTGGGCTTGGACAAAAAACATTCTGCAGATTTCATGCTTTCTAAACTTTTCTGTTTTTTGTCACATTAGAAGTCCAAATTCCAATTTTTAATATGTTTTTTGAGATATCAGAAAAATCGAGACAAAGTAGAACTGAAAGGATACCATTTGTGTTGTACGAATACAAGTGTGTATTGCAGCTATATTTAAGTCTTCATGATTCTGTTTATCAATATTCTCTAACAAACATCTGGAGCCTTACCAGAACAGCTGGATTTATAACAAATAAATTACACCAAAGTGGATTCTGTTTACTAATTAGGTGGCTTCTGAAGGTAATTATTGTACTGGATATTATTTAGGGGAATCGGGGTATAGGGTGCACAACCTAGTGTTGATTAATTACATAAAATCCCATTAATATACTAAAATTTTAAAGTTGAAAAATGTGTTACCTTGTCAGACAAATTGTATCTTTAACAAGAACAAACGGATTGTTTTTTTTTTTGTTTTTGTTTTTTTTTTATCCCCAGATGACAGCATGGAGTCTTTCGACAGTGAGCGACGACCCCACTTCCCACAGTTCTCCTACTCTGCCAGTGGGACAGCCTAATATGCAAATCTCAAACATTCCTCCAGTCCCACCGTCATTCCCTCTCTCCATCCGACTGCACTCTCAAAAGGCCCCAGCCTGCTCAGCCTCATCCTCCCCCAGCATTGTCTGCACAAGCCCCCCGTCGGATGTCTCAGTCTGCGAGCCGTTGTTGTTGTTTTACAGGATGGAGGAAGTGCGAGACAAAAACAAAGATAAACGTGCTTGTTCTTGGTGGCCTTTGAAGACTGACCATGGAGATAACACTACCCTGCATTTCCTGGTTGTTATGCTGTATACAGAGCAGGCATCCGTACTCCATAATGAACGGGGAAATGTAGCTATGCACAAATTGGGCTACTCCCATAACTCAATGTTTTTTTTCTTCAGTTTTTTGTTTTTTTTAAGGGGTTGTTTATATTCAATAAAACATCAACCATTTCAAATAGGTTTTAGGCATGCTGTGGACCAAAAACACCATGTAAAGCAGAGAGTGTGTTGTTTGTTGAGTGGGTGATTTATTCATGTTTTTCGAGTCTTTTCAGACATTTTTGGCCTCATAAAGTGAATGTACCGTATCAAATAAAGTTAATCTTCCTTCATACCGATGTGTTGTAACACATGTCTAATTCTCCTAAGACTGAAAAGTCCTCTTCGCTTTAAGCTACCCTCGATACAAAACTGAAACCGATCTGTTGTATTACCATTTCACACATTGATATGTCTGAGGAATCAGCAGTGCAATCTAGTCTAACGTAACACCAGATCGAGTGCTCATTCGGTTCCTTTTAAGAATTGTTTGCACGTCACTCAGATCCACTGTTTCCTGTTCAGGCTAATAAAAAAGCATCTCCACTCCTGAAGTCGGTGCTTACACTTCCTGGTGCCTTTTTATGTGGATGCTCCTTCTTCTCTAAGCTCGTCTTTTCTCCTTTGGGTTTTTCCTCTGTATACAGTACACTATTGGGTGCTATATTCCACCTGGTGCATATGCTGCAGCCTCAGTGAGGTCACTTCAACATAATACACTTCTTTAGGAAAACTTTGCAAGCAAACTAGGCTTCAGGGGAAACAGGTGATCTTTCATTTGCTTCTTTAGGGGACTTCCACCCCTCTCACTAGCTTCTGAGTTATTTATGAGACCAATGTGGATGGAAAGGAGTTTCACTGTGCCAATGATATGCACTTTGTGGCCCAAAAATGATTGTATTAGGACCGCCTCTGTATTTGGCTGGTAAAGACTAAATTAGCTTCCTTTTGTAAGATGAATTTGTGTGTTGTGGATACGTTTGAAACGAGACGCGTTGGTTTGAATCATTTCTTGTGCTGAGGCTAAAACCGATGCTCTTCTTTCAGAAGTTTCCGGAAGCTCTTCAGTATTTTCAGAACGGCAGATAATCATTGTCAAAAGTGCATATTTTCATTGAATGTAATGAGGTTTTTTATATTGTTTCCTCTTCAATCGTTGGCAAACCTTTGTTCACTCTCTGAGTCTGTTTGTTACTTATTCCTATGCACACTCCCGTCTTGGCTGTCACCTTCTGAAAATAGGGGGGAAAAAAAAAAAATTTATATTTTTTACTTCAAACTTTTTTTGTACCTGCCCCTCCTGTATTCCTGTGACCGAGGACACCAGCTTTAGTAAACAAATAATATAAACTTTGTACACTGTTTTTACATGTTTTCTTCTCAATTGATGAAATAAAAGGTCTTATCAACTGACTGACTCATTTCTCTTAAGATTACATTCAAAGAAATCCAGATGGCAAAACGCACAAACGTGTTGATGAAATCTTGGGCTGAACGCCTTTTTTAGTGCTTGATTTCGTTATTGGCGGTTATCTGTATTTGTGACATGTTTTTCCAAAATGTTTTCTATTTGTTTCCTTTATTTTTTTTAAATTGATATCCATATAAAATTATATTAAAAGTGTTAGAGGGAAAAACAAAATTAAATGTTTTGTAACTAATTTAAGAATCTAGTCATTGTGGACGATGCTCATTATCTCAGATAGCAGCCAGTCTGGAAATAAGTCTATAGAAGCCTGCGACTGAAGACTGTTGCAGTATGACCGTCTCATGAATGCTCTGGTGTGCTGTCTGCTCTTATTTCTGGGCACCACAGGTGATATTTCACAGTAACATCCTGAATAACATCACTTGTCGCCAAGGACTGCTAATCCACCTCATTTGCTTTTCCTGCTCCACTTTAATCATATTTCTATGACCTCCACAAGCATGGAGAATATGTTCATTCACACCCTCCGTAAAGACTGCAAGGGTCACAGAATCAAAGGTTGAAGTGTGATGTCACAGTAGTGATGATTTGAGGAGCCATGTAAAACTACAGTGGTGTTGGTCCTCTGTGTTTTATCAAACCTAAAACATATCCATCTATCTGGAAATCTTACAATATTTCATGCTTACATCTTCTGACAAGCTTCATGAAGATGGCACCTGTCCACACCTTCAAAAGTGTCAGTACTTGTTTGAACAATCTTGGTATAGACCTATGTACTTGATGCTGATCTATAACGTCTTTAGAGAACTGTCAAGAGGAAGATGAGACACCAATAAAGCAACCTGTTTTTCCTGAATGTGTCATAGTGCTGAATAGGTGAACTAATTCACCATAAAGAGTGAATTAGTGCACTAAATGTGAACTGACTAAGTATTGACTGCAGATATTGTGAAATACACTTCCATACTTTTTTGCCGAAAGACATTTTTGTATTGTAAAGATGAGTATTATTAAAATTTTCTGAGGTACTGAATTTTGTTTGTATTAACTGCAGGGCATAATTATCTAAATCACCACAGATAAATGCATCAAATATGGAATCTATATAAAAAGAGTTCCATTTTTTGATTTGAGTAACTAAAGTGATTAATCTCATTTACTAAAACACATTGTAAGGCTAAGTTGCAGCTGGATCAGGAGGCTGAACTCTACCGTTTTAACTGTAAAAAATAATTTACACGGGAATTTAGCTTGTCTAAAACATCCTGTGAACGTGAATTATGACCAAGAGTGAGAAAAGTGTTCGAACACACAGCGTCTTTATGTGTGTATGGCAGCTCGTGTCCAAGTCCAGGGTTTTGCAGCTGGTCTGAGACAAGGAGAGATGCTCCGTTCCCCTGGGGGCGCCTTGGGCAGATGGTAAAGTCTCTGGAGCAGATGTTGACAGCCAGAGCTCACAGTCTGCTGTTTTGGCCAGCTGCAATGCACAGCAACATTACAAGCTGAGGCAAAAGGTTTGGACCCGGTATGACACTCACCTCGCCTGGCTTTTTTTGGCTGGACTGGTCCTGAACGCAGCACAAAACTGAGACGTTGCTTTTGGCACAGACCTCACCTGAACTGTGATGTCACTTATAGCACACACAGTGTGTATTATACCACTGTGTGTATATTCCACACTCTGTGTATATTATACCACTATAAACTCAAGTGGTATAACATTAAGGGAAAATGCTGGATATCTCCTGTATTTTTTACATAACATTCAGACACTGAGTCTCTGAAATCTGGGTGTTGTTCCTGGCAGCTCAGTGTCACTTCAGAGACATTCCTGGCCGCTGCTTTGAAATTACTTTTCCCCATTTCAAGAAGGTTGCTAAGCTCAGACTGCTGCTGGCTGAACTGGGGAAGACTACCGGGACTCACTTGTAGTTTTGCTTTGACTTCCTAGTTGCACTTTACCAGTTATTACACATCATCTTTACGACTTCAGATTGTGCATAATTAAAACTTCTAACTGGTACAAATTTAATATCCCACTTCACTCCAGTTTTGATGTAAAAGTATTCATGCCCTCCCCCCACCGCCCCCCACAATTGTCAACCAAACCTGCAAAACAGGGGTACGTTTGACCTTTCTTCACTTTTGGACATTTAAGATTTTTGATTGAAAAAGAAACAGAAATCCACCCATCACTTTCCTCCCATTTCTCAATTATGCATCTCTTTGCTTTGGTCATATAAAAATTTTCAGTACATTCCATTAAAATTTGTGGTTACAACATGAGAAATTGCAAAATAAACTCAAGTGGTATAATATTAAGGAAAAATGCTGGATATCTTTAAGCAACCCAAAACTTACGCTTGACACTTTTATCCCAAGGTCAAAAGTTAATCTTGTCACTCCAATAATACTGATCAATTCTTCCAGTCTGTTGCACCTTAGGGATTTCTTCCTAAGGCTGTCAGTTTGCATAGCTTGTGCTGCTGAAGTAGACGAACCTTGAGTTAGACATTTTGCTTTGATGTTGCCTACTATTATTTTGTCTAAAAATGCCAATTTTTGTCTAATATGCTGACTTTATTCTCCATTTTCAAATAATTGCAACAATTGTATATGTTTTTAATCATTTAATCATTTTCTTTCGTTGTTTTTGAAGTGAAGCACTTTGGGATTCTTGTCTGTGAAAAGTGCTACATCAATAAACTCTATGGTGTACTTACTTGTTTCATATTAATCACTAGGAGGGTTGCAAAAAGGCAGAATATTTTGTAGATTTAAAAACAAAGAAAATGCCAAACCAAAGATACCATGACACTGCTGCTATTTAACTCAGTGTTAATGTACTGAAGCCTACTTTTGCTAATTGACTGTTGTGCACTTAAATTCCTGATGTTGCAACAGTGAATGTGCGTGATCAGCTGCAGGCCAGGAGCTGGTTCAGTGTCTTTCATAAACACCTCAGCAGGATGGCTGCAGCTTCACAAGGCCTGGCAGTGCACTCCACAACAAGCTCAAAATTCATTGAACAAAATATGTGCTTCGAAGAAAATATGCTATCCTTAAACAGAAGGCATTAGTTCATAGAGAAACTAATGAATTTGTAAAACAATAGGTTTTGCTATGTGGGCGTGGGGAGTTATCTGCTCAAGATAAAGCATTAAAAAACCGGTCTGATGAACTTCATATACAGACCCCCTTCTTTATGCCAAAGATAAGATTGATGTGAACATTAAACCAAGCAGAACAACAGTTGTTGGCGTTTACTTTAATGCTGGATAAATCAATTTATACTTAGTTGGCAAATCCAACAAAATGAAGAAACACATTCTTATGTATATTGGTTAAAGGTATCAGTGAAGAATCGTGATTAGCAACAATCCATTTACAGTCCAACAAATACGTGCTGATCGCCTATTGGTGATTCTTTATTCATTGGGACTACAGCTCCATCTAGCGGCCTCAAGACTGCCGAGGGAAAGCAGTCTCTTAACCCTGATCTACTCAAAATGAAGTTTCAATTTTATCTGAGATAAACCAATTTATCTCAGACAAAAAACAAACAAACAAACAAACAAAAAAAGATTAAGCTTGTGGCTTTTAATACTTGTACTGTGAGTTTATTTTAGACCATGATTAAATTACTAAATTTTCAGTTCAATCAAAGTATTCTTTGATTCTGCAAATTCCTTTACAGCCCTGCAAAAAAGAGAGAGAGAAATTTCACAATATCTTAGGCTGTTGTTAATCATATTGAACATTTCCCCATACTTTAAATCAGAATTTAGGTAAAAACACAAAAAAAGTGCTCTTGGCAAGTCCGTAGATCGTCTATCGTAGCTATGCCTCACTAAGTGGGATTTCAGAGTTTCTTCTTCTGATTACCACCCAATGGTATTTCAATTTATTTCATTTATTTATATTTGTTTGTTTGTTTGTTTTTCTTTGGGGGAGTGGGGTTGGGATGAGGCTTCTGTCATTCTAATCTGAAATAAGTAAGTGATTATATAAATGTATCCATTTCTGTAAAGATTTAAATGACCAATTAATAATTTGTGATATTTGTAATATTTTCAAATGTTTTTCAATAAATAAAGTTACTGAAATTCGTTTTGGCATAGGTGATTTCACGCGTTGTCTTCATTTTTTTCCAAATATACATTTTGAATTTATGTGTTAACATTGATACATTATAATTTTTGCACTGTCAACAATGGCACCAATTTTGGCCCTTTGTTGTTGTAGTTCATAATATGACATTTAATCCCCTAACTTTAAATTTCCAAAACTCTGACTTTAAAAGTGGAAATGATCAATTTGAATTCCAATCTTATGACTACAAATGCCATTAGTAGAGCAAGTTAAAAGTTTAAATCTCAGAATTATGACTTTGGAATCTATGACTTTGAATTTAAATACTATTACTAAAATTCAAAACTTAATCTTAAATACTATTATTTTAAAATTTTAATTTGTAACTTTAAATCCCATTATAACTTAAAACCTAGGCTGTATCTCCAAACTATGTAATCAGAACTCATAATTAATTTGAATCAAATAATTTTGATTCTGAATGCCATATAATACTGAAAGGCAAATCTAGAATTTCAAGTGTGAGACTGAATCTCATCTTCATAAGTTTCAAAAACATTTACAATTTGATTCTTTCTAATGGCGGAAATATTCTCCCTTAAATTGGTATCACACTCAAGTGGAAACGTTTTGACACCTTAACAAGGCGTTCACAGGGGGCGTGGCTATTCGTTTTGCTGCGCTCGGAATTCAGTCAGAGTAAGACCTCTGTCTAATTCTCTCCTCTCAGATTAAACCCGTTTGATGGGACGTTGTCGTCACCGTGTCGGGACTAGAGGCTGGAGGCGTTTGGAGGAGAGTTTAGTTCCGTTGTCATTCCCAAAAGGAGGAAGAGGGTGTGTTAGACATTACCTGGCTCGAGTAGTCACCTGTTGGTTTCATGTCGGTCGTCGAGTTTCATTGACGTTACGACGTTAAAACACTGGCTTCACTAAAGCGTAAAACAGAAAAGGCGTTTAAGGTGAGTATGTACTCCTGTTGAGAACAAGTCATTGGAGAGAAAGCTTGTTGCGGTCTAAAGAAGTTGACAAACGTTAGCTAAACAATACCAGCAACGAACACTAGCTAGGGACATTTCAAACAGCTGGGTTGTCTCTTACGGGAAAATAAGCAAGTTTACACTTGGAAAATATAAATATTTACGGGTAATTTTGTCAGTAATATTTAGCTTAGTAATGTTACAAGAAGTAAAGTCTCCACTGAAAGTTTTAAGTTGTTAGCTAACGTTCATAGATTGACATTCAATTGGCATGTTTACTAGCGTGTTGTAAGTTAAAATGTATTTATATCTCAGTTGATTAGATTAAATCCTATTTTGAAATGTGTTAACTTTAAAATGTTATCAGTTTCTTAAATAATGTCTTTAAAAATATCTGCCACTAAGTGACTTGTGGCCATTATTGGATTGATTACTTAAGTTAAGGCGTGAGGTTAAGAGCTCTAATTCTGTGCTGATACTCCCTTGTTTTACATAGGAAGAGGTGAAGTTATACAAAAAAAAAAAACTTATATAAAAAATAATGTGTTGTGCGTTTATCCTAAAGGAAATTGCATTATCTCAAAAGGAAACACCATATTAGATTAATTTGACATTAATCTCAGCCAAACCTTTTTCTGAAAAGATTTTCTTTATGATAACCTAAAACAATCCATTATTCATTGGTATATGGAGAAACAATCACATATAATAAAACGTAAATGTAATACCAACACCATGTTTGTAGATTTAAAACAGTAGATGGTTTTAGTATTTTTAAAGAAGAAATTCTGGCTAATCGATGTTTTATTTACTTTTAAACCTGTACATAAAGTGATTCCAAGTCCCAGAAAAAACATTTAAATAATTATTTACACATTTTATTTTTTTTATTATTCAACCTTCAGCAGTCAGACTCAGAAAGACACTGGAATTGGCAAATTTTCTGCTCAAAAGTAAAATCGTTCATGGTCAGTAAATGCATCAACTGACAGCATGTTTTATTTACTTTTTCCCCCAAGTTTAATAAAACTAAACTAAGGACTTTTTGATAGGTATGTAAGAACAGTGTTTCATCCTTAATTCCTTTACTTGTTTGATTCAGAAACAATTGCTGCAGATCTGCTGAGTGTAACATGTCTGTTACAAGAATATTAGATATATAGTTATTTTAGTTTGTTACATACTTATACAAATATAGAATAAATACCAACTAAATCTGGTAGTGGTTGACAAATGATATGGTTATTGTGCAGAATATTGTCCTTTGTTTTGCTATTCTGCTCTTCATTAAGACAAGTATACCAGGCTGGTATAAGCTACTTCATTAGTCAGGCTATCTGCTCAAGTAGTCAGCCTGCAGCTGGGAAGTTAACAGCTTGTTACCAACTTTTCACAACAGTTACCATACTATGAGTGAAAGGTGATTGGTAAATTATCCAAACAGATTAAGTACTTTCGATGTATTTAGGATAAGCCTGAATAAAAAAAAATGATGGATGTGTTGTATGTTTTGTTTCCAGGATGCCAAAAAGATCCTGACACGTGGCCCCAACATGAGCGTCACGTCATGGTTCCTGGTCAGCAGCTCGGGTACGCGCCACCGGCTGCCCCGGGAAATGATCTTTGTTGGCCGAGAAGAATGTGAGCTGATGTTGCAGGTGAGTCCAAATGCTGCTGTGATGTAAAGTTCAGTTGACAATCAGTGTTCAATATGTAAACCAAGGTTAAGAAATGTTCTGAGTCCTCTTTAGTAATGTCTGACTGTAAGCTCCCCTAGGCTCCCATTTGAAATGCAGCTATGTCATTCCTGTGTGTTGTTTTGCTCCACATTTTCCTTGTGGTCTTTGCATAATAATTTCCTTCTCAATCTGTATTTAGAGCATTAAAAAAGGAATGCACACTCCAAGGCAGTTTGTACAATTATTTGGTGTGTGGAACACAGAAATGCCCTGCTAAACCACAGAAGTTTCTTAGATTAAAACGTTACACTGATCCACGTTTAGGCTGTGTTGCAAGCAGAAACTCCCCCACAGCTTCTTGCAGTGTACACCAATGCATGCCTTTTCTATTTCTCATTTGAAACTGACCTGATGCAACCAGTTTGTGGCCCAAATAGCTTAAAATCTATTGTTTTTTTGTGACTTTTCTGAAAGATGAGATTCCTGTTTTGCATGAAAAACAAAAATTCCCCTTATGTGAAGTCATTTTAAATGGCATTATTTCAGGCCGGGCTGTTTGATTTCTATCTGGATGAGCATTCCTTTCTAACAATAGTCCCGACATCTACTTTGTTTCCACTTCGGTGATGGGTCTATTATTTGTCAGTGTCAAGAGTTCAGACTTTCTTATTCTGATAATGGGAGCAAAGTGAAGCTTTGAGCCATTGAGTTAATAATGTATTATTGGTATTATCACTAATCAGTGGTATTAGATAAACTAATCAGGAGTGCAAAGCAGCTGATAAACCCATCACTCTGAGCAGGACAGTGTTTACAAGCCACCTAAAAACTTTAAGACACTAACAGAAGCATCTGAACAGTTGTTCTCTGTGAGTCCAACATTATTTACAGCAAAACTGCAAACGATCCGTTTGAGGACAGCGCTAATTTGGCAAATTAATTTGACAATCGGTCACAGTTTTTCCTTTTTCTTTGACAGAGAGGCCCAGGATGCTAATGAGCAGAAAAAACTGTCAGATCAGCAATGTGCTCAGTCTGTGTAAAATAAAGGGAGGCAGGTCTTTGCTCTGTTATTTGTAAAAATAGTTTGATACATGAGGAGGACCAACTTTAGATTTACTTTAGTTTTGCCACCAATTCTCAATTAGCTTGTCTTTACATGGGCCATTCTAACATTTGAATATACTTTGATCTACACCATTCCATTGTACCTCTGACTCTATGTGTTCACCTGTTTCTTTGCATCCTAGTTGACTTTAGCTGATGCTCTGACAAAATTTGGTCTCGAACAGGATCTTTATCTGTCCCTTAGTCCATACTGGAACCTAATTTAATAATATTTGTATTTATTAAATTAATGCACTGCTGACTGTCAGTAGGTGTACCATTCAGTATTGCTTTTAATCTATTTTCCTTTTGATGTTCCTAAATTATTAATTCAGGTACACACTTCTCAGTTTTTCCTCAATGTTTGGGCTACTACTTAAGTTGAACTTTGTTTCTTACTTTTCTCTTGCAGTCTCGCAGCGTGGACAAACAGCATGCTGTGATCAACTATGACCAAAACCGAGACGAGCACATGGTGAAGGACCTTGGCAGCTTGAATGGGGTGAGTTACTCCATCCAGAGCACCACAGATGCCACAAATGGCTGTTAGAGAAGTGAAAACCAGCAAACTGTCTTGTCCTGGAGCCAGGGCTTCATTGTTTGTGACTCTGTGCCCTTCTCCCGTTACTGCTGTGCTGCCACTACACTGCACCATTATCCCACTCAAATCCAGAGTTGGTCATTGGGAGAAACTCGTCATTGTTGTCACTGAGTGTTTCTTGTGATCTCAGTAACTGCAGGCGAAATGAATTGGAGCGGAACAGTGTGGAGACCTGTAACTGAAATCCACTAACCAGCATTTGGTCACGGAACAAAATCTGCTCTTTGTGCGCCGTGTTTTACTTGTTCCTCCAGGTTTTGGGATCTGAACAGAAACACTAGAATCCTTTTCTTCCGTGCTAACTTGAGACAGATGGAAAACCAAGAGAGATCCGTCAGTTGTGTCTTTATTTTCATCTCACCAGTATGGAAGTGTAGAGAGGGTTGCTGTTGCGTAATATAATCCCATCTCATAGTGGATTAATTCTAGTGAGAAAAAAAAAAACACTTTCAGGACGAGATTGCATGGAACAAACAGGCAGTTCATCTGAGTTGTCACATATTCATTATAAAAATTGTGTGTATATGATATATATACCGTATTTTCCGCACTATAAGGCACACCTTCAATTATTGACCTATTTTAAAACTTTTGTCATATATAAGGCGCACCGCATT